GTGACTCCACAGGAGCTTCAAGTATGGATTGTGAGTATTCAGATTTCTCTTTTTGAAAAAGAACTACTAACTCATAAATAAACAGATCTGTCCAGTCCAGCTGAATCTTCCTGAGTAAGAACTGCTACCAGCAGCAATGTAACTGGAATCCACAGAAAGCTTGAATGAGGCCAGCTCCAGGTCCATAGTCCAATTTCTTGAGGGTGATGTCAGTCCCAATGATTTTCTTCAGTTCTTCAAAGGCATCCTGGCATTCATCAGTCCATTCCCAGGTGGAGTCCTTCCTGGTGAGTTTTCTGAGAGGTGCAGTGATGGTGGAGTAATCTTTGATGAACATTCTGACATAAACACAAATTCCAAGGAATCCCCTGACAGCTGTTGGAGTGTTGGGAATTGGCCAGGATTCAATTTTGTTGAGCTTCTTGACTGAGATTCTTCTTCCTTCCTTGCAGACAACATGGCCAACAAGATCCAGAGCAGGGACACAGCAAGCAAATTTCTTGCCAGAAATGGTGAGTCCAGCTTCCTCAATTCTGAAAAGTATCCTCTCCAAAGTGATGGCATATTCATAAATAAATCTTCTAATTTTTGGGTTGGCCTCCAGGGTTTCTCCATTGTAGTCTGAAGTAGGTCCCTTGATTCCTCCATCATCAATGAAAATTCCCATGTTTTCTGGCAATTCATCTTGAAGAATCCAAGTCATCTGGGCCTGGTAGACTGCAACTGAGTTGGTGGCACCTTGAGGAAGTCTGGTGAGTTGGAACCTGCCAAGTGGAGTTTCAAAGGTTGTTAATGGTCTGGATTCTGGTGCTAATTCTCTTTCATCATAGCCTCCCATAATGTCCCCAAGTCCATAGCAAGCACGTCCAGTAAATGACTCCACTAATTCCTCTGGTGAAGGTGGAAGACCTGCATCCTTAATGGTGACTTTGTTCAGTTGTTGAAGGTCATGAACAATTCTTAATTTACCATCTTGCTTTTTTACACAGAAGACAGGGCTGGAGTAACTGGAAAAGGATTGTTCATAAAGGCCAGTCTTGAGTCTTTCCCTTACCAGTTCAATGAATTGAGGCCTGATTGGAGCTGGAATATTAATTGGTTTTTGTTGCCAGGGTTCATGAGGAATGACAGGAATGATGTAAGGTTGTCCATAGGTGTGTTTGAGTAGTCCTCTTTCTTGTTCCACAAAGGCCAAGGCTCCCTGCCTGAGGGTGATGACCCAGACTAATAATTTGTATTCTTCATTTGACAGCCATCCAGGGGGGCCAAAAATTGGTAACATCAAGTCTTTCTTGTGTAACCTTGGAGGTGG